CTGCAGTCTGCAATCTGCAGATAGATTTCAAAGATTGCAGAAGAAAAATTTATACAATCTGCAATTTTGCAGCAGGAAAAATTGGCACTTGGGATTTGGTGCTCTTGGCCCCAAGGACAGACAACACTTAAGCTCCTGTTCTGAAACAACAGGAGCTTCTTCACTAATTTACATCAACCTTGTCTTGACTTGTCTATCTTTTGTTTCCTTTTGGACTTCCAAAAATTTGTCTTCACTAATTTGCATATCGATCAATAGTTCATGCTTATAAACTTGCAAGATTGTAGTATAGAGGCTTGTGTATTTGCAGAAAGTATTTCCAAATTGCAGAACAAAATTTTGACTCTTCTGCAATATTGCAGAACACTGAAAAAAAGTATTTCGACCACTGATATATATATATATATATATATATTGAATTGTTACTGTACCTTTCTCGCAAATGAATTCCTTCTCGAGGAGGCTACATGGGTGGAGGCTCCATGGTCCTGCAGATTTACAAAACAAAACCAAATTTTGGTTAGAAAATTAGAATTAGACGTTAGAACATCACTGTGAACATGCGCCAACAGGAAGTAAGCTAACTTTCTAAATTTGTATTTACTTTTCGGTCAATTTTTTTTTTCTCTAATTTTGAAAATACCAAAAGCCATTCAAAATCGCCAACAGGTGACAGGGATATTGTGGTGATTTAAACTGAATCTAAAGTTACTCCATGAACGTGCAGATGCAAACCAATTCGACAGTTGGCGTGTCCGACATTGGGAATTTTTGAAAGAAAAAGAACACACACCTTGTACTTCTAGAATGACACAGAAAGGATCATTGAGTCTCCAAAGATATTCTTGGAATGCGTCAAGTGCAATATTCTCCTCCTTAAAGGCGTCCCCTGCAGGACTTCCATTGCTCCAAGTTAAGTCTTTGATTCTCTAGATAAATACGGCATGTATAAAACTATGATAAAATGCAAATCATCAACAACGACAGTTTAATACGACAGACTTCGCACTTGAATCCATCGTAAGCAGATATGTAAGGAACATGACAATCCCACTGAAAATATCTATTTTCAGATTTTGCTTGGCTTTTAATTATGAAAACCGTGCAAAGAGACGAGCATACAAACGAAGAAGAACAATCTGATCAAGCATGAATACCTTCCGTTGTTTCTTCATGACGACTGCATCAAGCTTTAGCCCTATCCATCCATTGCCAATGTTGTTGCGGAGGAATTCATTCTCCCGTGGTGTGTTAACCGCCGCGAGATAACCACCCAGAGCTTGGCAGTATCGCTCCGCAGCCCACCAGACAAGCGGGGATGAAATCATCTGGTAACAGCTCTCTTCAAACATCGTCCAACCTTTACCACAGAACTTGTCGTTGAAACGTTGCTCTATGAATACAGAATAGAAGTATTGATATCACATACAATTAAAAAGTAAAGTAATACTTCTGCCCATAAAGTGCAGAGCTGTACATTTCAGACGTAGAATTTAACACCTGACTTTCAGCACAAAGTGTCCATTTCTATTACCAGCGGAATCTAAAAGTAACATCTTAAAACTCACCCACATCCTGGGTTCTTAACCATCCATTAAAGCGGCGTGTTTAGAAAACATTTCTTTTCTGGGATGTTTTACTTTTAGAACAGTATCTCACCTTTAATTGGGCAACCCAATAGACCTACGTTCAAAACAGTTTTGTCCAGTGCAGACTGTGGGGTAAGCATCACGACTCTGGTGTGTACTGCTATGGCCAGGTAATGTTCAGCGGAGTTGGCACTCACTTCGATTGGAATACCTTTGAATGATGACAAGTTGTGTTTGAAAGTTTGAAATGATCTTGTTTATGGCCTGACTGGCTTTAAGGTGTGGCCAGCAGTTTTGCACTTTTGTAATATACATCAATACCATATGGAACTGTTGTCGAGGTACGTTAAAAAAACGTAAATTGTAGATCTCCAAAAGAAACAATAGAAATTAGATACCTTAATTTCACCCGCCTCCATGTAGGTTGTTAAACAGTCGGTCCCAAGCCCGTATTTCAACGTAAATGGGGGAGGATGTGATGACCTGGGACCGGAAACAACTACAGCGGCCAGCTGGACAGGATGTTCAAGGGTGATTTGCAGCCAGTCCTCAAGGTTATCAACAACCCATTCCGTCAGGGACAGACCTCGGCTACCGTGGTTTAAATGACGTGCTCCAAAGCCTTCAGTAACTGTATAATCATTCACTAGTAGATCTACAGGTAGCAAACAAGCTCCAATGCCTGCGACAAAAATGTTATACAACAATGATTGAATACGACAAAGTGGTATTTTTTCAAGACGTTCTGCTGCGTTTTTTAATGAAAAGTTTATTGCAAATTCGTGCCCGGAGGCTAATTGCAAACTACAAAACATAAAAGAACATTGTAACAGAGTATACATGATGAAGTCTACATGATGAAAGGTAGCTGTCTAGAACTATAACTTTGTCTAAAACTATGTCTGAAGGGGTTGTCCTCTTTTCTGTAAACAATGGAAGAGGTTATGTCCCACCTTTTCCAATATTTTGGAGAAATTGGGATAAATTGGAATACATTGAAAAATTGACTGGAGACACCATAGTTTGACAGTTTATAGAATAGGCCATCCTGTCACACGCTGTCAAATGCCTTCATCATATCGACAAAACAAACATATAGTTTCCCCACTTCTTCTATAGATATTTTTCAATTAAAGCTTTCAGAATAAAAACATTGTCAGAGGTTCGGCATTTCTTTCTCAAAACAAATTGCGTGTCAGCTAGCAGACAATAATTTTCTGCAAAGTTCTGTAATCTACTATATTATTCAAAAGAAGTGTGAAGCGGTTTGACAGACAACTTGAGATCGCTATTCCTCGATAACTATCCACATTGGACTTGTTGCCTGACTAGCAGATTGGTGTAACTACCCTCGTTTTCCAGTTGAATGTCGTTGGAAAGAATTGTGTTAAACAGAGTTACCAATGGTTTGCCTAACTGTTCCAAAATGATCAATCACAGTGTGTTTCTAACAGCTAACAAGTGACATTGGGACTGGTCCCTGTGTCCAATGCAGTGCCACAATCAACTGATAATCTAATTACATTTCGAGATAAATCTCCAGTTTAATATTGTTAATGTATATAACAGGATCTCAGGAGAACAATGAAAAGTTATCGTTGAATAGAACTGGAAATTTTGCATTTTGATTTTGTATCTTTAATTTCGAATGTATGTATGTGTATGTAGACCCATAGCCGTGAACGGTCGTAGGGGCATCATGGCAGCCAGCAGCATGTCTGGACTTGCGCCACGATGTTTCAGTAGGCTTATAATCTTGGCGGCGCCTATCTCCTCTCCAAGATTTTGGCTAATACAGACGGGGTTCGCCACGCCTCCGTCCGGGTGAATGATGTAAATCACCATGTGGCTTATACAAGACGGAGGTCGCCAGGCCTCTGTCCGGGTGATTTGAAGTGAATCACCAACTCCATACAGTAGTGTTTGTACCATCGCACACCGGGGCATGCCCCTACTCTTTTTCGAAAGGTGTGGTGGGATCTTTAACGTGCTCGAGGTGTGGCTCTCCTCAAACACGGGACCTCCAGTTTACGTCCTATCCGAGGGACGTCCCTAACCGAAGCTAGGTACTCATTTACACCTGAGTGAAGTGAGGAAAGTCGTGTAAAGTGCCTTTCCCAAGGGCACAAGATCGGTGCACAAGGTGGGGTTCGAACCCGCAACCTCTGGAGTGTGAGCCGAACGCGCTACCGACTGCGCCACACGACCCCACATAATTTCGAATATGCCCTTTAATGTGTTTTGAAATCATTTTCCAATTACTGGAGGGATAAAATGGAAATTCTAATGTTGTACTGGAAAAAGACCATAGGGAACGTTCGCGAACGAACATGTTATAGATCGCCATATCAACATGTCTTGACATGGCTAAATATAATGACAACCCGAAAT